ACCTTTCAATAACACCCTGTATAGAAATTCCTTCAATTATAGAACTAATTTATTGAAAAGAAACATATGACGTTTCAGACAATACTCTGCCCTTCTTCAGGTCCAATGAAGTCAGAAGTAAGCTAGCCTTAGCACACTGGACAACGTGCTTGCAGTGCTGAGCACGTTTCTGTTGACATTTGCTTCATTGAATATCTGCTGCATTTATCGTCGCAATTACGTGGTGTACCTACGTAGGTATATCTAATATTGGGTGTCTCTTCAAATACTGTTTACTTACAACCAAAAGCTAAACAAAGATTATTATCTATTTCTTGAAAAGAAAAATCAGTTAACATAATTGCAAAACCTTCGTTTGCTCTATTTGAAACGGAATTACATATTTAAATCTGTGTTGTGTAATTTTTCGTGAACGTTTAATCTTATATTCCCTAAATATTTTACAGATCGTAGTCCACGAACATTTTTTTTCTTTGCATCTTTCTAGGTGGTAGGTGGCAATCCTTTAATCAAAATTAATTACAAACGGCTCGATGTGTTATACCCCCAGACCCTTATACAATAAAATTAGGTTAGGAATTATGCAGGCGTTGCAAATAAAATTCTTGAGAACGGATAGAAATCCGGAAAGAGTTGTAAATATGCCAAATGGTTTATGTATCACAACAAAAAGAAATTTGAAGGCGCTAACTCGGAACTGCGAACTAGCCAAGAAGTACGATCTTCATTGCCAATCCAGTTTTCATCATAAATGTTTTTCAGAATTGAAAAATTGTACCATGTTTGACAAATATCAAAAAGAAATGTCCAAGATTTCCAACGTTAAAAGTTAAGAGTAGTATTGTTTATACATCTATTTCTTTGACAATATATGGCAGCTTGATATGTCTCTCCCTTTCGATAATTTATCTTATTTACAGTTAAAACTAACACGACACATGTAAGTGTTTTATGTCATTGTAATTTTAATTTAATATCTAGTACATCAAAATCCATTAAAAAAGTATGCATTGCAAATTAAAAAATATATATTTGCGTCGCGACGTCGACGCCATATATTTATGCGTCATATTTGCAGTGTACTAAATTAAGCTTCCCCCTTCAAGCTAAAAATAATGACGTTTACAGAATTTCAATATTTCTATCCGTTCAAAAGTTGTTGGGCCGCGGAGTTTTATCTGGGACATCATATACTAAGCAGTTACATTTTCGTAAAATTAGAGTTGTTTTTTTTTTTCTTGAAGGAAATAGGGTGGAAAATTTGTTTGTTAACTTTTCATTATTATTGCCTACCAACAAAGTATTTTTTTTTCAATTTTGATTACATATGTACCTAACTTTATAAATACATTTCCAACGACAAACCGCCAGAAACGGGAAGTTTAAATTTTCATGTTCTGGGTGTGAACGCCAAGCAAACATGAAATTAGACATTAGTCAGCATGACCCTATTACATACAATGTTTTCTTTGGCCACAGCTCGGACAGCAATACAGCTGATATTCGCCTCTGGCCAACTTTCCCGCAGGCAAATCCGGCGTTGCCATCGAACCAAGAAACCACCCCCAACTCCCGAAAATTGACAACATTTCCTAATCCTTTTGGGTCGCTTGAGTCGCCGCCACCCCAAGCGTATCCGATGGCGTCCGTTTCGTGATCCTCCGAGATATCCAGCAGCACGTCTGATCAGGTAAGGTTAGCTTATTGGTTTAATATTCTATAGATTTATTAAAGAAAGGGCAAGTAGATGCGGTCGTTGCATAGTGGGACAAAATCAGAAATATGTAGGTAAAATTTAAAATCAGCCTGAATCAGACAAAAAACAATCGATTATATTGCACTAATTTAATTTTAAAACATTATTTGTCAATTTTTGCGAGCCCAAAAATAACTAAAGTATTCATTACAATAAATAAATTTGCTCGACGCCACATTAATAATAAGTTTTTATTAAAAAAGTTGGCCAATAAGTTTTGGTACCCTATGGTACCATCTTCAAAGCTAAATCACAGGTGAATTGGGTTACAAAAACATTGATAATGATAAATTTACCAGAGGAAAAAACAAAAACATTAGAAAGTTAGATAAAATTATAAAAATTTTAAATAATTCTGTATTTTTTATGTTTTTCGTTTTTCTCTCGAATAAGTTTATAATTATCAATGTTTTTGTAATCTAATTCATGGTACCCGTGAGTACCGAAACTTGTTAGCCAACATTTTAAAAATCTTACTGTTCGTGCGGTATCGATCTAATTTATTCAAATTCCCATCTAAAACATTCATATTTCAAAATTTATATTATAATTAACAACAAAAAAATTGGTCCAAGGTTTTTTCTACATGCAGTTTTAAAAAATTATCAAATTTTTTCATGATGACCCTAATGAGCTAAAATTAATAAATGTGTGGATTGTTAAAGTACAGATAAAGAAGTATCGTATGCATAATATGTTTCTAACTACTGTAAAAATTGGACATGAGATCAAATTGTCCGTGGGGATGGCCATACAAATTATTATCTACTCGTACACGATATTCTTAATACATATACATTTGACAACAATAAGTCTGGTAATTTCGGAGATTATCTGTGTAATAAAAATCTGTGTCAATTATTTTCAGTCACCTTGTATAAGAAATTCTAAAAAATTTGAATGTACTGAATTACTGATAAATATATATAAATAAGTGCATGTAGACTTTAGGGGGGTAGTAAACGTCACTTGAGATGGAAAACTAAACGTATCATTTCACTCATTTCAGAGAAAACATGTGGATTTACTTCCAAGGATGACTCGACTACAAATTATGTTTTATTCCCATATATTTGAATTTAATGTAGTAATGCGAAATTTGACGTTTCTATCTTAGCTAGAGTATTTGACACACCATGCATGATTTGATGTGACTTGGGGATTCACTTTGACATACGCTAAAAAGTATGGAAGCGGTTGAATATCGTGAAAACGGTTTATTGAATCTTTTTAAAATTTGGGTTGTCTCTAGGAATATGCAAGTTCTATTTTTCGCAATTTTTTCAAATTTTATACTTCATTTGTTTTTGAGATGCAGGGCTGCTAACTTGAGGTTTTTAACTAGCATTAGTAGTCAAATGTTCCGGTTTTAGATATTGCTTTTTTTTGAATTCAGAAATATAACGCTTTATATTTTCCCAACATTGTGAAATAAAGTGTCAAAATAAAAATACTGAAAATCAGAAAATCGTAGCTAGCCTTGGCAATCACCAGTAATAGTCCTGGTGTAGGACACTTTATTCAAAAAATTATACTAGTGCTCAGTCATAGTAAAAATAATAGAACTGAAGGTACATAAATTGAAATGAAGGTGCCAGCGTAACAGATTGATTTAAATGATGTGTCCAAATCACTCACAAAATATTCTAGAAATGATTTAATGATGCAATGAAAGCTTTTTGAAAAATTTTAATAAAAAAGTATTGAAAAAAGATCAAATTAATATAAAAAAAAATTAACAACAAATGTTCGAAATGTTCTCCATTTACTTCCTGGCAATAGTAAGTACGTTGCACAAAGTTTTCAAATGAATCTGTTAGAATATTAGGAGGCATATCAGCAATCACATTTAATATGCTTTCTCGGAATTCTTCGATGCTTTGTGGTCTATTAACATAAACTCGATTTTTCACATAACCCCGTAGAAAAAAGTGAAGTGGGGTTAAATCGGGTGACCTAGCTGGCCATGACCACTCAACTGCTCCCCTTCGTCCAGGAAAAGTTTCATTCAAGTAATGCCATACTTGTCGTTCGAAGTGAGGTGGTGCTCCATCTTGTTGGAACCAGATAGACTCTGCAGGTAAATTTGGTTTTCATAGTTGGGAAATATTTATTTAAGTCGAAGAGTAATACTTTGTTGCAAAAGTTGGAGGTATTTGTCAGACGTTAAATGAAGAAGGGGCCTACAATGGGGCGACAAATAATGCCGCACCAAACATTAGTTTTTTGGGGGTACTATGTATGAACCTCCTTCATCCAATATGGATGTGAATTGAACCAGTGTCTACAGTTACAGCGATTAACATTTAGAATTGATTCATAATATTTTTTTTCATTTTATTTGCCGTTTTTGTTAGAAAAGTGTTACAATTCTGGATTTAGAAAAAATTCATCTATTCAAAAATTGACTATTTGACTAGTGGTGTTATTTAAAAGAAATTAAGTTAGGCTTGCATCTTGAAAACGAATGAAGTTAAGAGCTTAAAAAAACTATAAAAAATAGAGCTCCAGTATTTTTAAGTATAGCCCAAATTTCAAGAAGATCCACCTAACCGTCCTCGAGATATTCAACTGCTTCCGTAATTTTTAGCAACCTTGTGTAACCAACATGGCACTATGTTGTTCACCTTAATTGTTACCATACTGAATTGTCCTGAGCCGACGTTTCTGAGTATAGTTTATAGTAATTAGAGCATACAAATCCCCTGAAAATTTTGACGCAATTGACGTTTCTTTGTTTGGTGCGGGACTTCACATTTACGAATTCCGTCGGTCTCATTATTACTCTTATTTAGGGATAATTTCAGTAATTTCAACACCACCGATCCGAGCACCACTGAAAAGTGAAGAATATTAAATCCAAAGTTTGAACGCCCTCAGATAATCTAAACCGTGGTAAGCAACCCCTAAGAAACCTAGGGGTCTAACACAGACAATCTTATTCAGATAAACAAACGTCATTTTTCAGAATTTTGACCACATATTTTCAGTTTCGTTCGTGCGTGGGAACGAATCGCCGACCGCCGCTATCCCCCAACTCCCGAAAATAAAAAAATCCCATTCCTCGGGCCCTTCGGGCGCGCTCCACTCGCCGCCACCCCCAACGCATCCGGCGGCGTCCGTTCCACGTCCCGCCGCGCCATCCGGCAGCAGGCTCCTGGCCACTTGTTGCTGCGGCGCGTCGCCGCCTGCACCAGGTGCGCGCCTCCTCGTTCCTCGTTCCTCGTTCCTCGTCCGGTCGCAGGCAGCGAGTGCAATATGATGGGTCCGCGACGGCGGCGATAAACGCGGCCGCCCGTTGGTGCATCGTGCAGGTGCACTCACCTGTCGGAGCAGCCAAGCAGCGCTTACTTACATTCCCCGCCAGGAGTTTTTTTGGATCGCAAAGGCTACGACGGTCGTACCTCAGTCGATTTGTGGCCACTTGCATGCACGGTCACGACGCGCTCCACGGACAGACACCACACCACGGTGACGTACCAGTGATGTAACATTGACCACCGGCCGACACCGCTGCTGCTGGTACCGCTCGGAAGGATCGCAAACGTGAGTAGGATTTTTTTACGGAGCTTAGTGCGGAACAACGTCTTTAGAAATCGGGAAGTGGTATTGGATGATTATTGGCCAATTTTTGGCCAGTTTTTTATTTTGGGTAATGTTGAAAAATTTCTTTACAAATATGGGGGGATGTAAATGGGGCGCCAAAGTGCTTCGCTGGGAAATCAGGATTTTTCGTTTTTCAGTATTACCATTTTAGGGCAATTTGTATGGACGATAAATGTGTTTTTTAAATTTGGAAGAAATTATTTTTAAAAAATATTTTCAAAAATTGTAAAAGTGTGTTTTATTTATTAAAAATGCAGCTCGTGGTAGAAAACAGTTTAAAGAGAACTTTGTTGTGGACAATGTTGTGTTGTAAACAAGTTTTTCATTCACTATTTGATGACTAAGAAGTTCCATCACATTTTTTTTGCGAATTGCATTATGTGAATAAGACGAGGACATTTCTAAGATTTATTAAAAAACGGTAAATAGCAACGTTTTTGTTTATATGATAAATTTAAATTTAAGTAATTGAGGTCGTAATTAAATATCAAAACAAAATGCAACTAACACTTTCTCCATAATTTGGTTGTAAAAAAAAACAAGTGAAATTTGAAACACTTTGTATGATCCACTACTAAGCATGCCAGAATTTCTAAATTGACTTACGTGTTATATTTATAAACAGTTAAACTGTAGTACAGAAATTTTCTATACATGTGTTTGTGTGTGTTTTGCCAGGCGCTGCCGTTTCCGACAAAAAGTACAATTTTTTTGTAAATCAAGACGAAGTACAATTCATCATTGTTGTACATAACAAAGTTAAAATTACTTTTAATATTCGGAGGTTTACCTTTTTTTTAAATATAAATATTGTTAGCTCCTTTTATGAAGAACTATTAAGATGTTAAATAAAATAAAAAAAATGTAAAAATTAATATGAAATACGCCTATCCAAGAACTAATTTTCGGTGCAAAATTTTAGTGTTAAAGATTAAATTACTGAAAGAAAAACTCTGAAGTCATTATTAAGAAAAACTGTGTCTGAGTAGGCGTGGTTTGTTTTTATTTTAATATTTCGGTATATTGAAGCGGTCTAAACCTGTCGATACTTTTTGAACGATAAACTTATAAAAAATTAAAATTAAAAAGGTGGGGTAATAATGATTTTGGTATATCTCGTTTTGATGGTGACTATGATAAAAAATACAAGTTTTAGACCTCAGGGGATACTGCCATCTTGAATTTAAAGGATGAAAAATTGTTTTGTTAAAAATAATTCCGGAATTATTTATTTTACGGAGAAAAGTGTTCTATACAAAGTTACAGATGATAAAATTTGGCATATTGTTGTACAATTTTTTTTTTTTTTTGTAAGTTTAATATTTAACGCTGTACAGCGGTGGAATAGCTGGTATTTGGCAATTAGGACTGACTGATGAACGCAGACCCTAAACTACTCAAGCTAGAAACATGAAAATTGGACAGTGCTGACTTTGGTAATGTCCCACTAAGAGAGAATTTTGGGATATTTCACCCCTAAGGGCAATAAAATAGGGGATGGAAATGTCTATGGGAATCCAATAAGTTTTTAAGTTAGACTGGTGCACTGCGGGGTGGGAAGGAAAAGTGAAAAATAATATATGCCAATGGCGAAATCCACCCAAGCGGAGCTGCGGGAAGCAACTACGTATTATTCTGGTGTTAGATATTGTTTGATGTATTCGTAAAAGTTCATTTTACCACGGATGTACTGCCTCAAATATTAGACATACAAAAAATGTTTTCAGGCGACCAATATAAAATGAGTTACTTGACGACTCTATTTGCGGCCCTAAAGTGTAATTTTTTCAGACTGAAGTGCCAAAATTACTTTTTTGGACTGAAGTGTAATATCTGCTAACCTTTCTTCGAAGTCCTTGTGTGTTTACCTTAAATTTTTTTTTTTGAAGATGCACGTTTAGCAAGCGGAATTCTTCTTATTTAGATGAGATATCTATTTGTCACAATTATAAAGATAACTGAAGCATGATGGATCGAATATTTTAAACATTTATGAAGTGAGATGAGATTGGTTCTGAAATGTTTGCCGCAAAATAGTCTTTCTTCTACATTCTCTTAATTGATAGGCAAAGTAGACTTCCGATTTTATGGTAAATCCTCCAGGGTTTTGATCCAACAAGAAAAGCAACAATTTTCTCACCTCAAAAACGTAAATATCTGCGTACCTACGAAACAAAGTTTATTAAGTATTAATGTTAAATTATTATTATTCAATACTGTTACATTTTTAAATTTTTGTTATTTTTTCTTAAAGTAATGTTTCATAATTATTTTTTCAAATTTAACTAGGCATTTTTACATGTGGTCGCCTAAAAAATGTTGTATGCACCACTGCCAAAGCGAACTCGGCTACGCCTCGGCCTCAAACTTCAGATCGGCTGCAAAAGTTCCTATTATACAAACGTGTGCTAAATTTTGTCACATTACTCAGCTATTAATAGTAATTGATACATAAAAAATAAATGTATATATTTTTTTATTTTCGAATGACAATAATGATGAATTTTAGCCACATTTCCGTTTTTTTTTTGACAAAAGATTTCGTCGTGAAGGTAAAAATTCATTTAAAAATTTAACTCAATTTGATGTTTGTTTCTTGCATCTAAAGATTTGTTCTCGTAGAACGTTTATGAAAAATAACTTACCAAAAGCTAATTTTCACTACTAAATTGTTAAAAAAAATTTGTAGTCATTTTTAAGAAAGGTTCGGATTTATTAGAAAATAGGGGTGGCTTGGTATATATATTTTTATTTCATAGTACTGAAACGGTACTCCAAGTGTCAACATTTTTTGAAAGGTTCACTCATTCAGAATTAAATACCAAAGCATCTTGATGATGGTTCTTGCAAAATTTCTAAAGTTAAAATTAACGTTAATATTCGGAAGTTTACTCTCTTTAATATAAATGTTGTTAGCAGCTTTTAGGCAAACAGTAAGTGTGTAGAATATTTGAATAAAAAAATAAAAATTTTTTGTTCGTTCAGATTTGAGTTATTTTTGTCTTGTTTTTGTTTTTTATTTTCATCAAATTTTAAAGCTTTGTTGAAGTACGCTTCGTATGATGCTTGTTTCAGCAACTATATTGCAGTCAAAAAATATCCGGAAAGTTTTCAATATCAGGTTTTGAAACTTTTGAACTTCTCATCTCATTTGAAATTTGGGAGAGTTGTTTCTGTTTTAATTTGAAACCGTTAAACTGAGCAGTAAAAACGTATTAGTTCTCGCGGTTTTCTATTAATAATAATTTTTAAATAAAATGCTCAACGAAAGCCCGTCTGATACCACTGAGTCAGCCTAGTTATTTTATTGACTTCTTTCAATTCGTTCGTTTTTCGCATTATGTCTGGATTCTCTGCTCATAACATCAACATTTTCAAAAACTGAACACAAGCTAAACCACTTTTCTATTTCTCTTCTGATACCTATCCATTTTATAAAGATAAACTATTGAAATTCCGAATACTACTGTATAGTATTTCAGAAAAGTGGTTTTGTTAAATATTCGTGTAGGGGAACGAGGGGCTTGTAACAGTTTTTAGGAAAACGAATATAATTTGGTATCTATTTGACCATTATAAAAGTATCTGTCGGTAGTCTAACTATTCCCCTACTGGACTGAACAGGCAAAAGGTCAAAATTGTTCATATTCACTTCATATCAGGGATTTTCTTAAAAAAAGTGCACTGTTACAACTTGCCCCGTGTTTGGGGGTAGTTGTAACAGCCATCAGGCAGGTCGTAACAGTAAAAGTAAAACGGATGTTGATACATATTTAGACTTTTTTTTCAAAAATCAACACAACACTTCATTATATATAATGTTTATCAGTAAAACTGAAATAAACTTTTAGAAAAAGAATCAACATTAAAGATTTGAGTTTTGTTTTCCTTTTTCTTAATATATCTGGAAAGCAATATATGGCATAGGTCAAAATTTTCGCTCGCTTTTCGTATGCTAGGTACCAGATTTGTAGAAGTGAATTTGGGATAAGTTGTAACATGTTACAACTTGCCCCCGAGATATTGTTACAACATGCCCCGTAGCACATTTTTCTACATTTAATTACATTTCGACAAAATTATGTCGCTTAGTGTCAAAATGTGTAAGGAATATCAAAGCTGAGTAATTTTTGAACTAAATACATGCAAAATTAAAAGTTTAAAATTAGTTAATAACAGATACGAAAAACCAAATTTTACTAAAGCAATATTTTACATTACTTGGCCAAAACGAAACACGTGCACACCTCCATTCAATGCGCTGGCTGGAGGAACAGTGGTTGTGATGACATGATGTCTTATGGTGTAAGAATTAAATTTAGTAAAAAACCTGACGTTAAAAAGTTTAAATTTCGGGTAAAAATTTAGTGTTACAACTTACCCCTGTTACAACAAGCCCCTAGTTCCCTTACTAAAAAAAATGTTTTTACATATTTTTTAAATCGAATTCTTGAACTTTTCAAAAACTACGAAGTAACACTAAGTTGGTTTTAAAAAATTCTTATTTTCTACTGCTCCAGATTTAACTAATTTATATGTATTTATTTTTCATGTGAAATAAAAGTGCAATTTTATTATTCTAATATTTGCGCTATAAATGTAACCTTTAAATAGTCTTCTAACAAGAAATTTAGCTTAAAGTTTACTACGTACAAAAATGGTATTCCAAAATTACACAGAACATAGGACGTCGTATACATTTTTCATAATAATTTTTAACAGTTTTAAAATTATAATTACATTTTAGTAAAAATAAACACATTTTAAAGATGACACCCAATGATTTTATAAACATTTGTACTCTTTGTTTAATATATCACTAAAAAGCCCTATTAATTTACTCATGTGATCAAATTAAACCAATCAAATTCTCAAATTTGCGGGTTAATATCGCGAAAAATTTTAATTGTAATTAAATATTTAGTCCTCTTTTCGAGTGA